ACTGCTGAGACCATACACACACACACACACAGAGACTGCTGAGTCCTTACACACACACACACACACACAGACTGCTGAGCCCATACAAACAGACACAGTCTGCTGAGTCCATACACACACACACACACACAGACTGCTGAGTCCATACACACACACACACACACACTGCTGAGTCCATACACACACACACACACACATACACACACAGACTGCTGAGCCCACACACACAAACACACAGACTGCTGAGTCCATACACACAAAAACACAGACTGCTGAGTCCATACACACAGACAGACTGCTGAGTCCATACACACAGACAGACTGCTGAGTCCATACACACAGACAGACTGCTGAGTCCATACACACACTGCTGAGTTCATACACACACACTGCTGAGTCCATACACACATACAGACTGCTGAGTCCATACACACACACACTGCTGAGTTCATTCACACATACAGACTGCTGAGTCTATACACACACACACAAGCTTCCTCACTAGCAGACAGACAGACAGACACACACACACACCTGAGCATATCAAGCCTACCTGTTGCTGGGGGTCAGACAGCCATCTTCTTGCCTTTCCTGCAGCAGCATGGTCTGCTGCTTAACGGCAGGGGCGGGGCTTATGTGCGGGAGGTGGGGCTTCGTTTGGGGGCAGGGCCTGTGCCGGGGAGCCTGTCAGTGCTCCCTCCGGCCACTGACAGCCCCCAGCACCGTTCCAGCTGAGCTCATCTGCCCTGCATTCCCTCCCCCGGGCTGTAACACAATCACACACTGTTACAGCCCGAGGGAATGGAATGTTGCTGGCATTTGGGGGAGCCCAAGGGGGGGCACAGCATGATGTAGGGGGGCCATGGCCCCCTCTGCCCCTCCTAGCGACGCCACTGCATGATACAAGGACTGGGGGGTGGTACAGAAACAGACATGGGGGGATAGAAATAGGCAAGGGTTGGTTGGAAGGTGAGACAAAACAGACATTTGCTGGGGGGACAGAGACAGAGGAGGGCTGGGAGAGAGACACCAAGAGGAAAGGAAACACAAAGTAGTTGAGGGGACAGATGCAGACCCAAAGGGGCTGAGGGGACACAAGCGGACACAAAGGGGCTGAGAGGACAGAGGCAGAAAGGGGCTGAGGGCACAAGCAGACACAAAGAGGCTGAGGGGCAAAGGCAGAAAGGGGCTGAGGGTACACAAGCAGACACAAAGAGGCTGAGGGGACAAAGGGAGAAAGGGGCTGAGGGGACAGAGGCAGAAAGGGGCTGAGGGGACACAAGCAGACACAAAGGGGCTGAGGGGACAGAGGCAGAAAGGGGCTGAAGGGACACAAGCAGACACAAAGGGCTGAGGGGACAGAGGCAGAAAGGGGCTGACACAAGCAGACACAAAGGGGCTGAGGGGACAGAGGCAGAAAGGGGCTGAGGACACAAGCAGACACAAAGGGGCGGAGGGGACAGAGGCAGAAAGGGGCTGAAGGGACACAAGCAGACACAAAGGGGCTGAGGGGACAGAGGCAGAAAGGGGCTGAAGGGACACAAGCAGACACAAAGGGGCTGAGGGGACAGAGGATGAAAGGGGCTGAGGACACAAGCAGACACAAAGGGGCTGAGGGGACAGAGGCAGAAAGGGGCTGAGGGCACAAGCAGACACAAAGAGGCTGATGGCACAAGCAGACACAAAGAGGCTAAGGGGACAATGGCAGAAAGGGGCTGAGGGTACACAAGCAGGCACAAAGAGGTTGAGGGCACAAGCAGACACAAAGAGGCTGAGGGGACAAAGGGAGAAAGGGGCTGAGGGGACAAAGGCAGAAAGGGGCTGAGGGTACACAAGCACACACAATTAGATAGAAACTGACACATCTCTGTAATTTATATTATTATTATATTTTATATTATTATTATATTTTATATTAAATAAAACATTGGAAATTAACCTTGTTCATGTGTTGCTCCATTTCCTTTTAAATGTGTATCAAAGTGTTAACAAATGACATCATATTCCCGCTCACACATTGCAATGGATGGTGGTAAAATAGTGAGTAATGAGTCAGAAAACGGACCATCTGCCAAGACCGGGGAATATATATGTCTGTCAGAAAGGGGAGTAGGAAAGGTGGGCAAGCGATTTATTAAAAAATGGCAATATATATGAACTGGAAAAAATAATGGGTCGATATATTGTAAATAAAAATGATGTTAAGTGACTCTGGAGATGACTTGTTAACACATTAAAGGAACACTATAGTGTCAGGAACTAACTATGTAGACCCCCTGAGCCCTCTTATTGCACTAAGAAGGGATTTTACTTATCGTTTATCCAATGCAACATGAGTCTTGCCGTGTTTGGCCCCGCCTCAATGGCTGTGATCATCAAACTTTATAGGAAAGCATTGGGAGGCTATTGTGCATGCACAAAAAATACTGTACTGTGCCATTCAGCATCTCCTCATAGAAATGAATTAAATCAATGCATCTCTATAGGGAACGTTCAGCGCCTCTATGCAGGATGTGGAGATGCTGAACACCCGTGGCTGCACAGTGTGCAGCACTGATCCAGGAAGCACTTCAATTGGCCATCTGAGTGACTGCCGCTCGAAGTGTTCCGAGGTAACAATGCAAACACTGACCTTTTCTCTACAAAGGCAGCGTTTACAGTGCTCAGCCTGCAAGGAGAGACTATAGACACCAGAACCACTACATTAAGCTGTAGCAATTCTGCTGACTTTAGTGTACCTTTAACAGAACCATTGTACAGATCAATTTGAACAGGCTAAAGGATATATAAGGACAAAGAAAGAGAAAAAGAGAAAATACATTTTTACTAATTACGTAATACCCCGAAAATCAGCAAACAGCTGTGGGCATTAGCATAACAAACACCATAAACACCTCCAATGAACAACATCACCAACCACCTAGAAACCATTACATTTTAATCAGTTAAAGCAATGAACACTATAACACAATAAAGCTTAGCAAAATCCATACTACAATAAATACATGTGTACACACTGGCCTTGATTTATTCAAGCCGATCGCGTTTATTGGCTCCCGATAAGCCATTAAAAGTAGAGCAGTTACATTACTGCCCTTAAAGACTTATTGGGCGGGGATAGATATTGTCTTGAATTTTGAAACTGAAACCTATATTTCACTTTGAAAGGAGAGGCAGTAAGAGGCAAAGGAGGCTCTTAAAGGTATGCTTTCACCATTTCAGAGGCTCTAAAGTGGGATGATGGGGTTTCACTGGTTCCCATCAGGGTGGTAAGGGCCTCAGCTCCACCATGTCAGTAGCACCACAACCACAGACACCTGCTAAGGAGGAGGATCTGTATAGAAGTGCTGCCACTGCTACAAAAATGAAAAGAGGGAAAAGAAGAATGAAGGGGAACTGATTAAAGAACACTTTCACTGGGTTCTGCTGGGCACTGCTCTTTGCCCCCACTATCTCAGCCCCTGCCTCCCCTCCAGAGCCCATCTAGATCAATGCCTGAGAGTATCAACAATGTTTAACAATGTCTGTGCTACACTCACAACATGCAGGGTAGGTATGACTAGGGCTGCAAGAACAAAGTGATTTGACTCCTAGATGGCAGTAAATTAAAAGGCGGCATGATCTACACACCAAAACCCCTCCACTAAGGTGCTCATATTGTCCCTTTAATGTTATCAAAAATTGTCAGAAATGTGTTTCTTTTTTTGCTTAAAAATGGGATTCATTTGCATCCAACAAAATAAATGTGGTAAGATGTTCCAGTTTACTATTAAACACAGCCTACATACAGTTTTTAATTATCTTTAAAATGCGGTTGAGGAAAAGCAGGGAACCATGACTTTAACATAGACCACAGTAGGAGCAGAACCACTGAAGGCTCCTTGAAAGAGTAGTGAAAAGTAGACTGTGCCTTGCAGTTTTACCATTAGAATGCCTTAAAAGAACCACGGCTGACAACACAACACAAATTTAACACATTTACCAAGTTTTTTAAGTCTTATTAAGCCGTAAACTGAACATGTGACAATAATAATGTCATATAAATTGCATTAGAGCATGCTGCTGTGTTTGTTTAAACGGGTGCAATTCTAAGACTGATTTGCATCAAGTTATTCCTGATGCCTCTGACTGGTAATATGGGGAAGATAAGCTTTATTTGACTAGATTTGCAACTATTTTAGGAACCAGCATCATTAATGCCCTTTAAAAAAAAAAAAAAATCAATATTAAGTCATGAGTTTGAGAGTCCATAGAGATAGAAGAGAAAAATCCAATAGATAACCAAGCGTTTTTGTTTTATGAGGGGGGTTGATATTCTCACTACAGGCAGCCTTAACCCTGCAATGTTAATGTAGTTTCTTTCAAAAATACAAAGTTATCATCTGTATATGTGTGTGTGTGTGTGTGTCTGTATATATGTGTCAGGGGGGCGGGGTGGGGACACAGATCGGGGGAGAGAGGGGAGGTGGGGCACGGATCAGTTTCGCACCGGGGCCCATGGATTGTGTGTACGCCACTGGGATGAACCCCATGCTCACTGTTCTTGGAGGGGTTGCAGTATCTCTCGTGCAGAGGGAACTTGATGACATTTCGGATATGGAGTGACCTTCTGGGCAGGTTCAGTCTGATACGTAAATGGTATAGGTTCCGTCTCTGTTGTGTTCCTCTGCAAACAAACCAGGCCTTAAAAGTTACTCGCCACTGCACAAGGCACAATATATTCACCAGGGATGAACTTCCACTCAATAAGGCTAGTTTTACTCTCCAATGGCTAGTGGAAATGTTAAGATAAATATATATATATATATATATATATATATCTATATATCTATATAAATATAAAATACACACCAAGTAGTATTTTTTTTAAATATATTTATCCATCAGATTTGCTTTTATTGAAATAATTTTCTTAAAACATTTTATACAAATATACATAAAAAGAAAAGAACATTGATTCTACTTAGGATCAAAAAAAATCATACCGTAATTGCATAAGGATAACTTATTCGTATTCATATATATTTACATTTCATTACATTGTATCATTGTTAGTAGGTTTTGATAGGGTTAATCGACTTCTCTTTAACTCCCTCAGTTCTCGAATCTCCAGGTCACCACATCAATTGATGGGAGTTCTTGTTTAGCAAGTAACGACAGACACGAAAGAGTGCTCTAACAAGTTCTCAAATAAGTGTATTTTCGGGGCTAGCATTTATACACAGTTTGCCACGCAAGCAGCGAGATTTATCGCTTCCTTATAGTTAATAGTACATACTTCTGTGGCAGTAGAAGATAAGCATTTGAATAAAGACGGGACAGGAACATCCTGAGGTCGAGCGAGGTCATACATCCTGTAGAAGGAAGACCTTGGTATAAAATACATCTGCCAAAGTCAGCATAATTATTTCAAACATTATTTTAAAGCATATAAAGCAAAAAGAGTTAACTATTTCATATCCTTACAGTCAGCACTAATGATTATAAACCTTATCTAAGCATAAAATACATATGAACAAGAAAAGTTAACTACTTCATATCCTTTCATTTTCCCCTCTTTGAGCAAACACTTGCTCATATTGTCGGTTAACATTCTCCCAGGACAGAGAAACTTCCACATTATGACATTCCTAAGCAATCATGTGGTCTACAAGAAACAGAAACTCAGCAGGAAAAAAGACACTTAATACTTTTGCAGACAGATATACAGAAAATGGATGTTTAAGACAAAATGGAATTTGGGCTTATAGCAAATATATTATTGCAAATAGCTGACATGTTAACCAATTTTAAACAGACTAACCAGCCGGTCAGTTGTTTTCCTCCTTCGTCCACGGAAGTGGGCACATATAGTCAAAGTGGGAATAATACCTACCCCCCGTCCAAGGACCATGGTCTAGGTTTTCCAGTCCACCCGATGATCTGGGGCCAGGCAAAAACCCCAGTGGCAAAAACTCATATTTGAGGAAAAAGCACATCTGGGGAAAACCGAGTGGGGGCCACGATTGTGTTAGACATGTCATCCCCTCACAGTTGACACCACTTGTGACTTATAATACCCGCACCTGTGAGTACATAGCTCGGGTATCTTACATATTAATTCATGAGATAAATTATAATCTAGCTTGAAATTCTGACAATAATCACAACCAGGACCTTGCGTCCTATATCTTTTAACCATTTCCCTATTCCAAAGGTCCAGTCAAAACCAGTCATATCCTCACGCAGTTCCTCAGAACATGGGAATCCATCCTTGGCACACTCAACATATATCAAAAACACACATAGTACATCCATCCCTGGGTCAGCTAACCCACACCATACATTTTGTTCCATAAAATGACTAAGGGTAGCAATATGGCTGACAACAAGACAATGTCAGCTTCCACATAGTTCTTCTTTTGTTTGCTGGATTTTCACCATAATGCTCTGTGCAACACCCCAATGGTTGAAAGGGTTATTACAGAACCAGCGGTATTAGACAGCACTGCACCTTCAGGACTTTCCAGTTTATGTCCTCATAAGTAAGTATCTCAGTTTCTTCGGCCTGCATGGATAATGACCAAACAGATGTAATTGCAAAATACTTATTGCATGGTCAGCCAGAGAGATTGGTGTGTAGTCCCAGAAATCAGGCGGCACAAACACTCCAGGACGGTCTCTACAATTATACAAACACAAGGATCAATACAACATCAATTAATTAATTACCTAGGCTAAAACTTACAATGCAATAAAGAATAGAAACATTGCTTCAGTTTGTCTTTTCTCTGCTATGTGGAATTCCTCAGACTGAGGAAGCCGAAAAGGACGTCGAAACGCGTTTCTGGATAGAGGAGAGAGAGGATTCTTTTTTATTATACATATGTATATTTTATTTATGTTTATTTTATGTATCAATAAATATTTTTGTTAGTTATCTTTATTCCATCTCCTCTCCATTTCTGTGGTATCCATGAGAGAGAAGTGCTATCTGGTTATTGACATCCATGCCTACAATACTTAGAGCCAGTTTAAAAGGCTCTAAATAAGGTGAGCAATTTGAGCTTATACATTCTATCTGACTGCTTTATTACTTTGATCATACCATCTGCACCAAAGAATTCTTTTTTTCTATATTTCATTTGGAGATATAATTCATCAACAAAAGAAAAGAAGAACGCTCCTGTTTTTAAGGTTCTATTGCCTACCTTTAAAGGCAAAGAAGCTGTTGTGTTTAGAGCCTATATCCTCATAAAAGGCTCTCCCAAATGTGAGTTTTATTCTTCTCACTTATTTGATATATTTTCAAACGCATCAGACAATACTACTCTATATATGTTTTTTCTGTTTATTTTCACATATACACCCCATATATACTGTGAGGGGTAAGTGTATCACAATCTATAATACTGTTTTAGCGCTGCACTTACATCAAGCTGTGTTTGAGGTCTTTTGCACTTTGTTCACTACTTGATACTGTTTTTTGTATGTTTTATAACATAACATAAAGCTATTCTATGTGTGTAATGCTGTCCTAATTAAAAAATGTATATGAAATGATATCCTACACATGTAATAATTAGATTGCCTATTATTTTTACATTCTGCGTCCACACTTTCATGCTAAGGGAGAAATCAGAGAGCTTCCCAACTTCTATCCCAAGATGTCCGTTTCTACACTTACCCTCCGAACAGCCACCATATTGTTGCAGATAAGCACGCCACCAACAAACTCAGCCTGTATCCCCTCTCGCAGGAGAACTTGCTTAAAATCAGAAAGCCGTGGTTCATTCATAAAGACAGACTGATGTCCTGGAACCTAGAAATCGGCCATTATGTGAATACAGTGATGGATGTTATCATATCGAATGGCTCCCTATGCATTTCTGACTGTCTGACTGCGACAATGCAATATAAAGCACAACACCCTGTAATTTACGTTCATGTTTACTTTCTAGAAAACGTGTGGAATGCAACACATTTTTCAAAGTGTCCTTCACTGAACGTGGCTTAACGGGTAGACTAATTAAATGGGCAAGCCTTCCATAACATTTGTCCTGAATGGGATAGGAGGATATCTGTAGATTCACACCTGAAAACAGGACTGCTGCATGTGGACTTTAGTGACTTAGTGGCTTATTCTTCAAGCATCAAATGGGAATAGTTTATAAACAAATGTAAAAATTCAGGCTACAGGTACACAGGGTTACTGAAAAATCTGAAACAACAATCCCTATTCTATACTGGATTGCATGCAAAGGATCTACCATAAAAAGGGAAGAAAAGATGCTGGATCCCACGGTTATCAGAACCTCCTAGCCCTAAGATGGAGAAAAAGTAGCTTGACAGTTATTTTGGAACTAAAGCTTGCATAATTCTTTGACAGAGTTAGGAACATGAGCCATTATGTTTTTGCAAAGGACAGATAAAGCAGAATAAAACAGTCCTTGACCGGTGTATGTCGTCACCTGGGCAGGGGGAGATGGTTAACCTTTTAAAACACTTATAATCCCCATTTCCAATATTCCCAAAATAATTCCAGACTACTCCGGGTATGGGTCAATATGTCCACAGCTTTATTAAACATTGTTCATATATTAAAACAATTTAAAAGTCATTGCCCCGCCCCTACCCAACCATACGTCAACATCCGTATCCATTACATCACAATAATAATAACATTAATAATAAGTCAATGACCCATATGTAATATATGCTTATTATAATGTAACCATAAAACACTTACATACCAAATAACATAATATAGACATATATATATATACCAAACATATTTACATAATTCAACTCCTCCTGGTAGGGGTATACCCAGACACCCTTACCCCAAATTTCCTCCTGGTAAGGGCATACTGAGATACCCTCACCCCAAATTTCATCCTGGTAAGGGCATACCGAGATACCCTTACCCCATCCAAATTCCATGAACTGGAATTGCCTCCTGGTAGGGGTATACCTCAGACACCCCTACCCCACCAAGGTTCAAAGCCACCGCCAGACTCGAGCCCCCAACTTAACCAACATTATAACCAACCTTATAACCAAATTTGTCACCAACCAACTGTAACCACACTGCCCACAACTTCCTTAATTCCTCTGTGGTTCCCCCCGTGACTATTTATACCTAATTATCCCCCTACTACCCAGCCACAAGGTCAGACCTTGACCCCTTAAGCTGTCTGAGCTCCGCCACACCCCAGGAACAGGGCCTTTTGCAGCCCTTCCTGAAGCCCCAGGTTGAACAGATCCAACCCCACATGCAAAAGGTGGACCCCATCCTGTCTGTAGTACCCAGGCAACCTTTCCTCAAGCACCTTGTGCCGAACCACCAGATCACCAAGCCTCCTAATGAAACTAGCAATTAAGCCAATGACCTTGCCCCGGCCATGTTCCATTGCGGCCGGGACCCTGGTGTAGCGCCACCGTAGCCGTGTTACAATCTTGGACCATACGAGTTGCACCCCAGGGACCAGTGCCCATAATCTGTTCAGATCCTGCTTCATCCATTTCACCAGTTGTCCTTGGGGTACGAGACCCATGTTGCTGCCCCCTGAGCGCAGGACCAGTACGTCTGGTCGCAAACCCCGATCCAGCATACCCAGGATCTCTCCACAGACGACCTGCCATCCGAAACCCCGAAAACCAAACCATTTCAACAATATCTGGTCCTCCGAAAAAGCCCAGCTGCTGACCCTTGAAACGAACTGAAGCCCTCTATTTAGCCCAGAAGATGTAGGAATGGCCCATGATCCACGCCACTCGTCCTGCGGAGACAAAGGGAACAAGTCAGGCCGCCATCCTGGGAACCGGAGTCCCCCACCCGTTACACCAATCGCCCCAGCCACACATAGGACCGGAAACAAACGAATTTCCACCTACCTATCCTCTTCACAATCTACTCACCCAAGGCCTCTGTGGCTGCACCAATGCAGAAGGAGTGAGTCTGAAACTGGGTGGGCTGGAGCCCCATTGCCGTCAGGCTGAGCTGCAAGACCCTAGCAAATTGAAAATGAGATAATGCAGAACCATCGTGATGGACCAAGAAACAGCCGTCACCCCCCCAGCCGTCCATCCAAGTACCTCGTCACATTAAGCACGGGACACAACTCTGATCCTGCTAGATGGTGAAGGGTGATATCCACGCCCTTCCCCAACACATCCGTCTTTGATCGTGCCAGCCTCACCACCACCTTGGTGGCGGACATTGACACCTTACCCCTTTGCACCCCGCTGCCACCCCGTTTAGTGGCGCTAACCAGCTACCCAATGCGGAATGCACCAAAGAACTCCAAGATGAATGCCACGCTGAACAGTTGCGCCTCATAGTCGGAGAAGCAAATGCCTGGGAGCGCCCGCACCACGCCCTTGAGGACCTCGAAGGAGGACCTGTACCACCTTGCCCCTCTGAAACCCCTTCAGTGCCTGTCGAGCCAGGAAACATTTAGTCAGTTCTTCCCATCCGTGAAGTTTAAAACCAAAAGGCCAATGTCGACATATGCCTGTTGACCACTGCTGAGGACAAGCCACTAACTAGCAGCTGACCTGTGTACCACAAGAACGCATCCATGCGAGATCCCACAACCAGCTCACCTGCCATCCCGTGCCATGAGTTTTCCCACGACTCCCACACCTTGCAGTAAGCCGTCCATGTCCCGGGGGCCAGCAATGCCTTTACAAGTCCAAGAAACACCTCGTCCCAAGCTGCCAGATGTCCTCCAAGCATGCCTGCCCCACCTCGCTCGCCTCCGGTGCCACCGTCCAAAACCGAGATCACTGCGAACGAGACAAGGCGTCAGCCACCACATTCAAGTACGCCGGGACATGCATAACAACACAAACGTGAGAAGAAGGCGAACCACTGGAGCAGAGGAGGCGGAGAGATTATTCACCGTATGCACCACCGCCATGTTGTCCGAGAAGAACAGCACTTTCCTATCCCGAAATATATCACCCCACAAGGCTAATGCCACCACCAATGGGAATAGTTCCAAGAATGCAAGGTTGCACAGCAGCGGGCTACCTGCCCATGCTGATGGCCATGCTTCAGCGTACACCACCGACCACCGAAATACGCCCCAAAACCCACCGATCCCGATGCATCGGTGTACAGTTCCAGCTCCTCGGCCGACACCGCGACCTTGCGGAAAATAACTGTTCCATTGAAATCTGTAAGGAATTCATCCCATGCCCCCAGATCGGCTTAAATGTCATCCGAGACCCGAATGAAATGGTGCGGCACCCGCATTCCAGCCGTCGCCCGAGCTAGGGTGCGACTAAAGATCCTTCCCATGGGTATCACCCTACATGCAAAATTAAGCCTGCCAATCAGTGATTGCAGCTGCTTGAGGGTAACCTTTCGTAGGCCACGTACCTCACCCACTGCATGACGCAGCCCCGTCAGCTTGTCCGGGGGGAGCCTGCAAACTCCCGTAATTGAATCAATTTCCAGTCCCAGGAAACTCAGGCATTCAGTGGGCCCCTCGGTCTTACCTTCCGTCAATGGCACCCCAAAGAGCCCCGCCACCCGTTCCACCGTTCGCAAGAGATAGTTACAAACGGTTGAGCCCACACAGAGAAAGTCATCCAGTCATCCGCCTTCGTGTGGACCACTCATTCACTGGGCATGTGCTGGAATCTCAGTGTTATCTGGTGTGGGCAGATGACGTTTCCCACAGGGACTTCCTCTACCCACATAAAGATGGCGGCGCCCTGAATATAGATAGGTGCAGAAAACAAAGATTAAAAATAGGTAATATGGGGGGCTTAGGGGCATTTGGGGGTGACTAAGGGGTCAATTAGAGATAGTGGAGTTGGGAAAGGGGTTAAAAAAAAACAGGATTCGGCCATGACCGTGCCGCTTTAACATACACTTCCTTGTGGTGTTATTTAACAGCTATTTTCTCCGATTGGCTTTGGTATCTATAAAGCTCTTAATAAATAGCCTGCCTTCCACAATCAGACTCCCCTAGTCTTTGATCCTTTAAAACGCATCTCTGCAGGCTAGTTGGGTAAAGGCTGTATAGCACCATCTATTTTATACCACTAGGTGTCACTCTGTCTCCATTTACCCAAAATAAAATCATGCACACAGTTAAGCGTGGAGATCGCTTGAGGACTGCTCTTGGGGCACCTCTCGCCCTACATGTACTATCTATCTGCACTACAAAAATAAAAATAAAATGTTTTTAAAATGCTTTCAAATACATGAAAAACTAAAACTTATGGAACTGCTGCAATGACGTGACCAAAGACAAAAAATCCTTTATGAAAATTAGTCAGAAACATTCGAGAACAAATCCTGTTCCTCTATCAGGGTTCTCCAAACTCTGACCCTCCAGATGTTGCTGAACTCCAACTCCCATGATTCTTTGAATGAAATAGATAGCTAGAGAATCATGGGAGTTGTAGTTCAGCAAGATCTGGAGGGCCAGAGTTTGGAGAACCCTACTCTAAATTAAATGTAACTAACTGTCCAGTTGAGATATTAAATATCAGCTTTTTATTATTAACAAGAAGAGATTGATAAAATGAGAAAACTTAGAAATAAAACCCAAAAGGATATGCAGACACTAACACAGCATGAGCAACATGAGCTGTTAATATACAACAAGCTGTAATAATACAATAAGCAGTACTTATACAATAAACTGTAACAGCACAATAGCACAATAAACTGTATTCATACAATAAGCAACAAAATATGATAAGCTGTAATGATACAATAAGCTGTAATAATATAACTAAATATAATAGTTACAACAAATTGTAGAGATACAATAAGCTGTAAAAACACAATAAGCTGTAATGAAGGCACACTATACTGTTAGAACAGGGGTAGGCAACCTTTTAGCAGTACTGTGGCCAGGGCCGGCCTTTGGGGTATTCAAACTATGCAGTCGCACAGGGAGCCATGGCTGCAGGGGCGCCCAGAAGCTGACAGTTCACAATAAGGGGGGACAGTGTCTGATAGTGCTGCTCCCCATAGATAATGGATTTTTAAAAAATTTGCCTGGTGCGATATATTAGATAGAAATGACTCCCTGTTTGTCTGCTGCCCCTGCTAATACACTTCATAAAATCCTCTCCCTCGCGTCTCAGGAGCTGACTCAGTGAGTCAGAACTCAACCAAGGAGATTGCCATCCAGCCCTCTAACACATCAATGAGCCCAGGAACCGTGAGGGAGAGGTTCTTATGAAGTGTATTAGCAGGGGTAGCAGAACGTGCAATGTACCACCAGACCACCAGGAATGAGACATTGCCAGCAATGGACCACGAGGTTAACGATAGGGACAGGGAGGCAGGGCCGCAGGCATGCTCCTTTGGAAGTGTGCACTACAGGAGGGAGGGCTACACTCAGAGAGAATGTGAGTATTTCTATGTGACTGTGAGTGTTTGCATCTAATAATGCCTGTCAGTTTTTTGTTGAATTACATGGCTTGTTCCTGTCTTGCTCTCTGAAGGAGTCTACTGTGGTTATGGTGTCGGCTGGAGTGCTTGGAGCCCTCAGGAAGCGCTAGGAGCATCCTTTGGGTGATCCGTTACAAGTTTGTCATTGCACCTGGGAATCTATCTTAGCCGGTAGCCAGAACTGGACCATATGACCCTTCCCATCCCTCCCCCAGAACCAGCTCCCTGCTTTATTGGATTCCTGGTGTTCAGCCTATGTTCTGTGTCTTCCCCGGTATTATCAATATTTTTATATATTTTTTGCCAGTTTAGTAGATATGCCCCAAAGAACACATGCGTGTATTATTTTCTGCATGTTTTGTTTGGGCCGATATGAAACATCAGTTTGCAAAAGCTGCAGACCTATTGTCTGCAGCTTTTGGAAGCCCTTTCCTATTTCTATGACACAGACTTTCACCAATATAACCCGATACACAGAGTGCATCCCCTATAAATATGCACAATGCCCTAATGCACACACTACAACCCCTATACACAAATACTACAGTCCCTATAAACACACAACACACTACATGCCCCGCAGCTCCCAAACACACATTATAGGCTCCTACTGATACACTTTTCATTTCAAAAGGCTTTCTTACAGCTTAGTTTTGGGGTCAATAAGAGTGGGTTGTTTTAAATAATGGGAGGTATTGAACGAGAGGATGTGGTCGGGAGGGACGCTGTACCTTAGGCAAGCCCTCAGTGTGGCAAAACAAGATCTTCAAGTCTCTTGGCGTGCCAATCCTGTTTGTTTTAAACTAATCTGTGTATGTTGCCGCATTGTGCTTTCGTTATTTTTGGTTGCTGCGGTTGCTTTGTAGCGTAGTATTTCTGCGTATGTGGGCAGTTATATTGTACATGTTTATGAGTAGTTTGTGGTATTGTTTGTGTGTGTGATACCTAATGATGTGGGCTGTGCATGGAGGTTGTTTGTGGAATTGTGAGTGTGGATGATATGTCACATTGTGTGTTTGGTGTGTGTATGTGTGTTATGCTTGTGGTATTGTATGTGAGAGGCTGCTTGTTGGGTGGTGTATGTGTATTTGTAGCGACGGTGTGTGTGTTTGTGTGTGGGCTGTTTGAATTATTTGTATGGGGGGCTTATTCTGCAGCTCTGTGTATATCTAGCAGTGTGGGGGGCTTCCCCAGGGGTCCAGTGGGGACCAGGAAGGCCAGGTACAGGCCAAGGGCAGGAGCTGCAAGAGCTGCTGTGAGCTGCTCTACTCCAGTGTGGATTCCCGTTCACAAGTATGGGGAGAACATTTTCTGAGATCCCTTCCTCTAAGTGCTGCAGTGCGTAAATGGAGGATTGTCCCTCTCCACCAGCAATCACCACTCGGCTTGCACTAACAGATATCTCAAGTCCCACTTGGGCTCCTGGTAGGTCAGAGCTTGTTTGTCTCTGGCAGCCTTGACACATGTGCCATAGGTCGCTGACCTCTGTGTTAGAATATAATAAGCTGCAACAACACAATAAGCTGTAAGACAATGATCTGTAAATGTAGTGTGATTTACCGTTGTCACCAGACAGTAAAAAGCAATTAATACTTTATTTTATGGTTTACACAGAAAACAAATATCTAAAATGTATTTTACTGTCTGACCTGAGTCTAGTTTAACAATGTCCTAAGCCTTTCCCAGCGCAGGGACAGAGCATAAAAAGAGCAAATCATGATTAGAGAAGGGAAGTAGAGAAGTAAAGCTACCTACTAAAGACAACACTTTTCATGTTCTGCCCAACAGCAAAAAGTGTATGCATTCACCATCTCTGAGGTGGGAAACATACCCCTTTGATCCCAGAGTTACCAGATTTCGTAACTGCGATTTTAATGAGTATTCTTTCTTAGACTGTCACTATCACTCTGATTTATTGCTGATGAGATTACCCTCAGGAAGTTCAGTAGAGTTAACCAATTTAGCATTTAGGAATTTAGGTTCGGCCACCAACTTAAAAAGAAAATTGCATAAAAAACATAGGTAGGGAATAATTGCTGTAAAGAATGTGTGGTGCTTTATGTTTTCACAGATTGAAAATGAAGATTGAGAGATAGACCGACAGACAGAAAAAAATAATAGGTAGATAGATAGATAGAATGAGAACTTGCATTGTTCGTGTGCGTAACAAGTGAAGTGCGTATGTGTGTGAGGAGTGAGTGTCTGTGTGAGGGATGCAGAGTGTGGTGCAGTGTTTGTGTGAGGGGAGCAATGTGTGTGTGTGAGAGTTTCCTGACATAAATAGCTCTGTAGTATGAGGGTTATTCACTAAATGCCAGATTTCGTCCAGATTCTGTGAAAAATCTGATTTTTTTTCAATTTCGGTTGATAAAACCCTTTAAAGCTCTATTTAGTAATCTATATCTTATCCTTGTTCCGTAATCCCCCATGATGCTGTACGTGCCATTTAGCTGCTGCCCAGATTTTGTATTACAGACGTCCGAGGCATCACTGGAATTACACTGGAAGTGGGGGCCCATCCTCTTTATTTAACCTGTCACTGGTCCTCACGCAAAGTTTCCTTCTAAAACTGTCCAAAAGCTGGATTCCAGAGCAGACGAGTAAACCTGACAATAATTGGGTTAAAAAATGTTGGCTTGTCTGTTTCTTTAATTATTATTACATTTCCTGGACTGATTATTTGGAACACTGCCATTATGTCAGTTGTGACAGATCTGCTCCAGGACAATAATTTCAATTAGCCAATTCAGCATTTCAGACTTTAGGATTCACCTCCACCTTTGAAAAAAATTTAAAGGAAAGAAATTATGCACAACATACAAGTTAGAACAAATTACTTTTAATTACCTTTTAAAGGGACACTATAGTACATGTATTGCTAACCCTAGAGTGTTAACACCACCATATAGCCCCCCTGGGTCCCTCATGCCTCCATAAATATAATAAAAATCTTAATGTATTCAAGCCAGAAGCTGTTAATCTGCATGCTGTTAGACTCAGGAAAAGCAAGCAGTCTGCTGACATGTGATAGCCTGATCCAATCACAATGCTTCCCCATAGGATTGGCTGAGACTGACAAGGAGGCAGATCAGGGACAGAGCCAGCATGATTCAAACACAGCCCTGGCCAATCAGCATCTCCTCATAGAGATGAATTGAATCAATGAATCTCTATGAGGAAAGTTCAGTGTCTGCATGCAGAGGGAGGAGATACTGAATCACAGGATGCTCGTGCACAGCAGATCTGAGTGGATGGAGGCATACTATGCCTCCATCAACTCGGAAGTCCCTTTGGTGGCATTCTGAGTGACTGCAACTGGAGGTACTCCTAGCTTTCAATGTAAACACTGTATTTCCCCAGAAAATACAGTGTTTACATGAGAAAGGCTGCAGGGAGCTATATATACATTAATCTGAAGTTGTTCAGGTGACTATAGTGTCCCTTTAATAATTATAGTCTGAAATATACAGTTGTCATTTTGTGACACCCATAGGGTTCGGGAGTCAGAAGGTCGAGTTGTTGGTCCCTGATATGGAACCATTTTCCCTCCCTCAATGATACGCCAGGACAGGATCTGGGGAGAGAGAATTGCAATGACTTTCTCTTCAGTCTGTTTTCTCGAATATCAGTAACAGGCAGAACTAATGAAGGCAGCTGAAATCGAAGCTGCTGACTGGCGGTATAACTCCCAGTAGTCTCAGGCAGGTCTGGATATGTATGCCCTGGGTCTGCGCTGAGATTATGGTCTCTTTGCCCCCCTCAGCGTCCATCGCACTGTACATTACTGTTTTTAAAGCACAGGATTAAACTACAGTGAAATAACAGCCAAATATGCGATGTAATCGCAAAGCTACAAACAATGTAATATATTATGTTTATATGTGAATGTGTGAGTTTAAAATAAAACATCTGCACCATCGGGACCTGTTCCCGATCCTGTAATGTCTATGAAAGTTTCAGATATTCTGTCTCTGCTGCTGAATATGTGCCATTCCAAGTCCTGAAATTCACAGAAATGGTCCCGGGTCCTGGAACAAAAAGAATATATAAGAACATTGAGAGGGGACTTGCGAGGGGGGGAGAACAGGGGGGTAAATATAAACAGAAGGCATTTTGTTGCACACGAAATTTGCGGATGTCAATGTGGATGATTCTACTAATATGGAGCATGTAATATATGCAATTTGACAGATGGGGGCAGCTGGAATGATATATCCTTGTGACCTCCAACAGATTCCCACTGACTCTGTAACCACCAGTAATGACTGGATTGTGTAATACATTTCCTGAGCATTGTCCTACAGTCACTTGCAAACACCTCCAGATACATCAATCTGGCAGACTGGTCAGTCTCAGATACCACATGTGACAAATTCCCTTTCCTACGAGCTCCTGGAGGAGCCTGCTTGCCAGCCTCCTGCCCACAGACTACGGGCCTTGCAGGGAAACCTGTAAAAGACTATTTAACTGGCTTGGTAGAACTATGGCTTCCATTCGGTAGTTGTTCGTTTTTAAACTACAGAACTTGACCGAGCGTTAGCACTGATCTCATGGAACTTTGTTGTGCATAGGACCATGTGCACAGTCAGTCAAAATTATGACTTCCATGAAAATCCCGAACCCCTGAACTGATCTGGGTGATTTTTGCATATGTTGGAGCTACAGTTGATGGTTAGCGGCAAGGAATAAAAGGAAGGCCACCCTTCGCTGAACTGATGGTGGAATACCGAACCAAGGGCAAAAGAAACGAATTTCAAAGGGAATTTAAATTTTGTTTGTCTTTCTATGGCAATAACCCGTCGACAGAGATTCTTGCACGAACCATGTCGGAAGCCCATGAGTTCGTGCTGAGAAGGAGCGAAAGACAAACTCCCGAAAGGACACCGACAGTAACTATAATGCAAGAGGGTAAGCTCAAAATACCCTATGGAGCGTTTAAAAACTTTGTGGAAGCAGAGGAGGATATTGATGCCTTCCTCCAAGACTTTGAAAGACAATGTACGTTGTATAAGATCAGTCTGGACGATTGGGTCCCACTTCTGGCTAGCCGACTATCGGGAGAGCAGCTGAAGCCTACCGAACAGTCGCAGACAAGGAAATATGGGACTATATTAGCCAGGTATGCCATTGCTCCAGGGGCATATCTCAGGCGGTTCAGAGAACTCAGGAAAGCGGAGAAAGACTCTCATGCCGAGTGGGCATGCCTGCTACACAGGGATAGGATGGATCCAAGCACACCAAGTGGACACCATAGAAGGACTTTTGGAGCAATGGGGTACCCTTCATTAAGCTGACCCGGTGCAAGCCTTTACAGAGAACCAACAGCACCATCACCAATGCGTCCACTTCAACGGAAAGCCAGCTCAAGGTCCCTGAGACAAGAGAGCCACCCTCACCTTGGTCAAGCGAACACCTGGCCCCAGTAGCTGTATGGGTGGCAGGGGGAGCAGTATACTTATACTGAGTCCACTTGAATTGTGGTGCCGGGTCAGGTCTGATTAATGTGGGGTTGATAGAGGAGCTCCCCACCGACATCTTACTGGGAAACGACCTAGGCCAGTTGACCTCAGCATTTCTGTCGTTCCAGATCCCAGGCCCACTGCACAGGACCTACTTACATTCTGAAGTCTAGATGCGTAAATATTTGGATGGGGGTGCGGTATTGAACCAGGTCAGAGATGATGGCTCAATTGAGCAGAATGCCTGGCTGTGGTGTGAGCCCTAAAGAAACGCCAGCATTGATTGTACGGACAGCAGAACTCCCTGGACATCCCCAAGCCGATCCATTGAGGATCAGACTGTGTATGCCGGCTTGTGGTTAAGGGGAGCAGTGTAATGGAATGGATGCTCTAGCTACACTTTTATTCCCTTTTACTAGGCTGTCCGTACGGCCCCATTCGTTTACCGAACCAACTATGTGTGGGTCCCCAGATTCCTTTTGTGTTTTGGTCACCCTGTGCCCATTATTGGTGTAGGGTATGCTTAATGTATTGCTTGTCTGTGCCTCTCCCCCTCCCCCTTTTTCCTGTCCTATTGTTTCTCCAGCAGGGTGTTGTCGCAGGGATACTGCCAGACCAGTTTAAACTAGCTGCTTTATCCCTCCTCAATCTCCCATCAGCCCTTGCTATTGTCTGACCCCACCCTTCCTTGTACAATAGTACTCTATGCACCATTGTATGTGAATGAGGCTGTTGGGGGTTTTAAACTATTGTAGATTTTTCTGTACCTGAGAGATAATTGAGTTATAGTTTTTTCTTACGCAATTATCTTTCAGACACAGAGGATCCTGGGATTGAAACTCTTGTATTGTGGTGTTGAAAACCCCTTGCATGGGACTGGACATAAAAGCTATGTGTGTGACAATAAACTTCAGTTGTACTCCCAGAACTGTGTGTCGTCCAGTTTTTGGGGAGGAGGTGGGATTTTTCTTTGGTGTTTTACTTGTTCCTGATTTTACTCTTGTGGATCCAGTGGAGAGGAGTCCCTGCAAGAACTAGGGCTCCACTACACCACAGTCCACCAGTAAATATCCCACTAGGCTGGCCCAGGCATGGAGAGCTTCAATGGCACAGGACACCAGCCTCCTGCCTCACTTCTACAGAATTGTGCAAACAGACATCCTAGCACACCTACTGCCATATTGGTTTTCAGAAGAATGGTTTGAGGCTGCAGCCTACAATCAGCCTTACCATGCTAGCATTCCCAGGGGACCATTACCCCATTAATCCCATGACAGCCACCCCATGCCTTCCACTTGCTTTCCTTTTATACATCACTCTTGTTCCAAGTAAAATCTTTAGTCTTATCCTTCTGATATTCTACCCACTCACTTTTTTACATGGGTTCACTCACTTTTTTACATGGGTTCCAGAGCCATTTATATTCTGATGATACCTATATCTACCTCTTTTGCCCTAGTCTCTATGATCTCTCAGTCTAGTTCCTGAAGATCAGTCCTTTCTAAACAAAATTAAGTTTTTTTTCTCAGCTCCTACAATTTATCAATGACTTGTGCGTGTCCTTCTTTGACACTAGACCCACCAACATTCTCCTAGAGGCCTTTTTTAAGGGTGACATATAATTACGAAATAGCCTCCCTTGTTTAACAATACCTTTCTCTATTCCCCAGATCTATAAAAAATAAAAGAAAACTGCTAATTTCTCTTTCCGTCGCACCTAATAGATGTTTCCACTAATGGCTGCACAATCCCTGTTCCTTCTTGTTCTGCAACCTTCATCCATCATCTAACATTCTGTGTTAACACATCAAACAATCAATTTTCCCTCTGGCTACATTTTATTTAAATCTTTTATCATTTATGTAATTTTACCTACTCCCTTTAGAACATGAGCTCGCGTGAGCTGCTCCGTCCACAACTCTCGTTCCAACATGTTAGAATTATTTTTCATGAAGTTACTGGTGTGCTAAATTTACCAAATGCACTATGCCGCAGAATATGTTGCTGCTTTAACAGTCACAGTAACGCAAATCGTGTTTTAGAAACAGACGATATATAGCCAATAGGCAGGATCTAAGCCACCCAGGAGAGCAGGTTTCATTTATACTTATATTGGGGATTTCAATTTCCCAATCAATAACCCCACCTGCACTGATGTCTCTTGTCTGCTCTCTGTAACCTCCTCTTTGGCCTTACGCAATGGTCCAATTTAGCAACCCATACAGGGGAAACACTCTTGATCTCACCTTC